ATCTTCCATTGATATCAACTCACTAAGCTGGTAAATATTGATTGTAAATCAATATATTTTGTGTTACTCTACTAGCAGTGGAACATTGTTTACACTAGTCATACATTTTACTTCTTAAATTTATAACTAATATGCCCCACATTGTTGTGTTTATAAGGACTTCAGTACAATAAGGAGGTAAGTACTTACTTCAGATATAACAGATGGGAGTGGCAAGAAGGGTCTATTTGTTAGTTCAAGGGTTTGTAACCAAATAAAATTGAAGGCTATAAAAATTATGCTTTTACTGAGTAATAACTATATTATAACAACTAATTTACATTAATTTCAGTACTTCTTAGAGGGGTGGTAAATAAATTAGAGAAGAGAGAAGACCTAGAGAACAAATGTCACAATTTTCACACTAGGGGAGATTGAGGGTTTTTTAAAAATATTTTCTTATAAAATTAAGAACTTAAAGCTTATATAATATTAACATTTTATTTATTAACTACGTTTTAATGCCAAGATTATTCATATGCACTGATAATAAAGTAGTTTAATTACATTTTGAATGTTACTCCATAAAAGATTGTTACGTGTGCACTTTGATCTACCCAGTGCAAAAAGGTTAACAGTTGTAAGCTACTGTCGGATAAACCATTCCATAAATTAAGTTTGGTTTGGCTGTTTGTTGTTTTTGTTTTATCTACGCTGTTTTCTCACTTCAGAACATCTTTTATATTTCATTGTGTTGTAGTTGGTTTCATGTAGAGATTTTTTGATTTTCTATTTTCATTTTAAATGACCTTATTTTGTGTACGTGACCAACAGACGTAATGTGGTTAACTCAATTCTACAAAGTTGTGTAAGTTTCACTTAGGCATATTGTACTTGTACAACATCCAGCTTATTGTGTTAATAATGTTTTTTTTACCTCTTTTTTAAAGGTCAAGCAGATTTATTCTCTAGTACAACTGATTTAATATAAAAAAAAATCATTGAAACCATTACATAAAATATCACACTTGCAAGAGCAAAAAAGAGTTCCATATATTGGTTATTCTTTCCAGTGCAGTAATATTATCAAGATTTTTTTTTTTTTATCTGTGTGAAATTTGTAGCTAAAGGAGACTGTTTTGTTTACTACAAAGATGCTAATTTTCATTTTGTCTGAAATTTTTCAGATACAATACACAAACAAAATACGGAGTATTAGTAGAAAAAGATGTTCCCACGTGGTTAGAGTTTCAACTGATTTCAACTGGTGACTTTGAGGTCCAAAGTAAAGATCCAAAGAACATTTCAAACCTTAACAGCACTAAATCCAACAAAAATATCCAGCAAGATGGAACAATAAAGTTCACCCCTCAGAACCCCAGTGATAGTGTAGACTTCGGAACACTTCCAGAATTCAAACATCACAACTATAATGCCATGAAGCAATCGTTGAATAAATATGCTGACAAATATCCTCACATTACACGATTGTACAGCATCGGACAGTCGGTGGAGGGTCGGGAGTTATACGTCTTGGAGATTACTGATAATCCAGGGATTCACGAACCAGGTACTTGTTCCTTATTGCTACTTCATGATAATGAATTAATTTCCTGTGAAATTATACTTGTAAGGATGTAAATGGTTTTGTTTTTTATTTCTTTTTTTCCTGATGATATAAAATTGCTTATAATAAGTGACTTATTTTCCAGGTGTACATGAATTTTGAATTCTTGGAATAGTGGGGACGTTACTGTGACTAACAAAGTTTCTTGACGTTTAATTCCATGTTCTACAGGTGAGCCTGAGTTTAAATACATTGGAAACATGCACGGTAATGAAGTAGTGGGACGGGAGATGTTGCTGTTACTGATTCAGCTGTTATGTGAAGGGTACGGCAATGATGGACGAATTACGTGGCTGGTTAACTCCACCCGCATCCACATCCTACCTTCACTAAATCCAGACGGGTATGAGAGAGCTAATGAAGGTATTTCATTCTTATTTTCCACTAACGTTTTTTTTTAATCTATTCTATACTTTTTCTGCACAGGATTAATGTATAAAAGCTTCCTAAAAATAGATACAAAAAACAAACTGTATGCAACCAATCTTCTAGTTATACATAAAGCAGTGACCCCTGGTGATTCAGTGGTAAGTCTGAGGGCTCATTAATGCTAAGTATAGGGTTTCAATTCCCACAGTGTACAGAGTTCATATACTAAAAATGCATGTGTGTCAACCTTCAGTTATTACCTAAAGTAGTAACATTTTCTTTACATTACAATTGTTCTGATACATAAAAATTAAGATCTGTATGTTTGTTTTTCTACTTATTTCTTTTAATAAATTAATAAAGTTTATGCTACAAGTTAAAGTTGACTATCATGAAGCTGTAAGAATGAATTAGTGTGTGTTCATTACAGTATTTAAAGAATCTCACATTAAACTTTAACTTGGGGTCTTTCTTTGATAGTATCTGGTTTTTCCAATTCTTGGCTGGTCATGTTGTAGGTTTAGGTTTTGCTTTTATCCAGTGTATGGTGATCTATTTTCTGTTCACAGCTTCTTCCTGTATCACTTCAGAAACTATAATGAGTATTTTTTTATTCATGCAGGTGATTTTGATGGGGTTCTAGGAAGAGGAAACGGTAACAAGGTAGATTTGAATCGAAATTTTCCCGACCAGTTCCTGACGACATCGGAAAATTCTGTTCAGGAACCTGAAACTCTTGCTGTTATGAAATGGATCAAGTCCTATCCATTTGTATTATCGGCTAACCTTCATGGTGGATCTCTGGTAGCTAATTATCCGTACGATGACAATCCACAGAATGTTGACAAAATTTACAGCCGGAGCCCTGATGACGAAATCTTCAAGAAACTAGCTACTGTTTTTGCAAATGCAAGTTCTATTAAGTAATTGTTTGCATAACTGTAACTTAAGTTATTGACCTTTCAATAACCTCTAATAATTTCTTTTTCAGGCACATTGTGCTGTTATATTAAGAGTAAAAAACCTTCTTTTTTTTTTTATGGCACGATGAAAGATAAAATCTTTATTAGATATTTCATCTGAGTAGTGTCGATAACACAGTTATCACCATCAGGGCTGTATTACCCAAAACTACTCGGCTGAAATATCTAATAAAGATTTTATCTTTCCTTGTGCCAAAAAATTGTCATGATTTCAAAAAGATGCCAAAACTTATGTTTATACAACTCATAATTTAAGTTGTTTATATTAAATGTTGACTGGAGTTCTTCAGGTCAGCTGGGCTACTAGTTTTGATATCCAGAATATGAGTTCACAACTGTTGTTATTAAAGCACCTGTTTAGTGGGAATGGATAATGACATGAGGTTATGTTTTCCCATAGATACTGACTTGATTTTTTATCATATAATGTTTTATTCTTGTGTTTAAAATAGTTTTTTTTAAATTTATGATAAATTGTTTGGCTTTATTTTGATGTTTTATTTTATGGTGGTGGCATGGTCTAGTAATTAGTGCTTTGAACTTGGAGTTGAAAGTTTTAGGTTTGAAGCTTACCCGTACCTAGTAGTTCAGGCATTGAACAAACTCAAACTTTCTTATGCCTACCTAGCCGTAAAGTTAGTACCAGCTAATAGCTGGGAGTTAACTTGCAATGAAATTGAATCCACTCCAGGGGAAATTTGAAAAACATTCTCATGTGCTTGTGTCACAGAACAGTGGAATTATTCAGTGGCTTTATGAGCAGTTAAGTATATTCAGTACAATCGTTTCTTTCTTTTAACTAACTAGGCCCACCAGACGATGCATCTTGGGAAATCGTGCGATTCTAGACTTGGGTTTTTAGGAGAACATTTCCCGAAGGGGATCACAAACGGTGCTGCCTGGTACAGTGTTCCTGGTAAGGTTTTTTGTACTTGTAATACTTTTTTAGAATTATATTGTCTTCCCACAAATAACATATTTCTCAGCTTTCAAAACTATGAAGAAAAAACTTTAATGTGTCAGAATTGGTGCACAGATTAGGATTAATTATATTACTGTAAATTACTTCAAGCACTGAATTCAACAAAATTAATTTTGGTAGGTTATCTCATATATATGGATCATCTCAACAATGAATTATACATGTATGTTTTTCACTTCTCTCTTATTTTAATTTCTCATGAGTTTTTTTTTTCTGGCTAATTTTCACTACGCTGCCATTCTTTTTCTGTGTTTATGTAGCAACAGTGTAGTGACCAATAAAACAAGAGCATTTTATTATGAATTACAAAAATAAAGAACACTTTTCCAATCTAAAGTTATTGAAGAGAAGCTTTTAAAAAGATCTACAAATAATTTTTCATTATTTTCAGGTGGTATGCAAGATTGGAATTACCTAAACTCTAATTGCTTTGAGCTTACGATTGAACTTGGTTGTAAGAAGTTTCCATTTGCGAAGGACTTACCAAGATTTTGGAATGAAAGTAAACCCGCTTTGTTAGCATTTATAGAAGAGGTGAGAATCGGAGGGATTCATTTTCCACGAGTCCGTTATGATGGTAGTATGCCTCGTAGTACGCCTCATGGAAAAGAACTTTCCAAACCTTATTATTTGAAAATCGAGCGGAAGGGAAATAATTAACATTTTTCTCCTGGAAATATCAATTTGTTAAATGTAGAAATCTGAGATATTATTCAGGATATAAAAATTCATGTTTACCTAATGATATTAGAATCAAATCTTCTTTGTTATAATTTTTCTGTACTTACTAGGTTCACACTGAAATCAAATACTTTGTGTTATAATTTTTCCCTATCTGCTAAGTTTTACACTGGATTCAAATGGTTTGTGTTATAATGTTTACTTATCTGCTAAGTTCACACTGGAATGAGATGCTTTGTGTTATAATGTTTCTGTACCTGCTAGGTTCACACTGAAATCAAATGGTTTGTATTATAATTTTTATCTGTCTGCTAGGTTCACACTGGAATCAAGGGCTTTGTGTTATAATTTTTCCCTATCTGCTAAGTTTTACACTGGATTCAAATGGTTTGTGTTATAATGTTTACTTATCTGCTAAGTTCACACTGGAATGAGATGCTTTGTGTTATAATGTTTCCCTATCTGCTAGGTTCACACTGGAATCAAATGGTTTGTATTATAATTTTTATCTGTCTGCTAGGTTCACACTGGAATCAAGGGCTTTGTGTTTGATGAAAACAATAATCCTGTACCAAATGCCACAATTCATGTTGAGGGTATCGATCATGATGTGATTACAGCTGAGACTGGTGATTATTGGAGACTTCTTGTCCCTGGAGATTTTACCATTGTTGTTAAAGTTCCAGGGTAAGTGTCTTGTATTTATACAAGTTCCTGTAGAATATACCCTAATTCCCAATGGAAGTGTCTTGTAAAGAAATAAAGAAAATCCTGGTGATCGTATCTGAATTCATTTTATATTCATAATTTAAGGATCTGGTGTTATATTCTGATAATTTCCAATAAAAGAGTTAAAAATTGTGTAACTCTAGTGATGTTTTAAATGTACAAAAAACAAACGTTTGATTAATGCTGCTATAAACGTTGTGATATTTTTTATCTGAAAATGTCAAATCTCCATTAGGCAGCTGCACTTATACCACGCTGAGGGCTAAAGTTACAGAAGTTTGAGATTTTATTCTCCCGCTGTCTTTATACCACACTGTACTTAACCAATACGACTCGAGTCTTTATTCCTCGTTTCAGTTACAAGCCACAAAAGCGAGACGTTACCGTTCCAAATGACTGGGCCGTTCAAATCAATTTCACTCTGGACCAGCAGTTTTCGGAATGGTCAAGTAGAAATGACTATGGACTGGAAAAGAATATTAACACCAAGAAGTACATGTCTAACCAGGAGTTGTACCACATTCTTCATGAGCTGGGGAAGGAAAACTCGGATCTAGTTAGTGTCATGATTAACAATGGTCCTGATGGGTTAATGGTGCAGAAGTTTATCATCTTGTCATCCAATGTAAGGACCTTTAGATAGGTGCTGACATTCATTTATGTATATATGTTTGTCCTTAATAAAAGTGTTAATTAAGAATATTTGTTAAAAAGTGCAAATAAGGATGTTTGAGAGTGGGTTTCTTGTGCATACTCAGTGTTTCTGTATTTCTGTCATCAATATGTGTGAAATTGGATTGTTGCATTGTCCTCGTCTCGTGTTGTTTACGAATATGAACCATATGCTCTGATAAAAAAAGAAACATGTAGCCTGAACTGAAACTTAGGCCATAGTAAATAGTATTAGGTCGTCAAGAATTTAATGTCGCTTTTTTTTAGATGAAAAAACAAGAACTTATATATCAAAACAAAACACTTATTATATGAAATAGTCTCCATTCTTAACGATGATGCTTTTTCATCTTACAATCAGGTTGTTAATGCCCTGATTAAAGAAATCACTTGGCTTTAAAGCAAAAAAAAACATGTCGATGTCCTCTTTAACACCTTCCACATTTACATACGTTTTCCCATTAAGATGGTGTTGCAGTGAATGAAAAAGATGGTGATCTGATGGTGTCATATCTGGAGAATATGGTGGGTGTTGTGTTGTGTCAAACGTGCCACATGTGAACGTACATTGTCGTGGAGATGAACACCTTTCCTATTGACGAGTGAAGGGCATTTCTGATGAAGGCCTTGATTTAAACATTCAAGTTGCTGACTATAGATCTCTGCATTGACAGTTCACTGTGGATTGAGGAGTTTGAAATGAATTACTCCTTTGATGTCCAACCAAATGCAAAGCATCACTTTCTGCGGATGGAGTCCAGGTTTTTGGGTCTGAAGTGGTTTTTATTTAGGACTGAGCCATTGTTTTTGGCATTTAATATTCACATAGAGAATCCATTTTTCATCACCGGTGACAATTCTGTCCAAAAATGGTTCACACGTATTACGCGCCAGAAGAGACGAAGCAGCATTCACACGTTGGAAACAATGATCATCAGAGCGTTCGTGAGGCACCCAAACACCTTCTTTAAGAAGTTTCCCATATTCCTTAGATGTTTACGTATTGTTTCATGAGAGACATGTAATTCCAGGGCCATTTCACAAGTGTGTTGCCTTGTGTTAGACTCAACAAGCGTCTTCAGACCATCAATATCAATTCCAACATGTTGGCCCCTGCCATCACAGTTTTTAAGACTAAAGTCACCTGAATGAAATTTGATGAACCATCGTTGACACTTAAGAAAGTTCAAAACATTTCAATAAACTTCTTTGATATTCTTTGTGGCTAGAGAGGCGTTGTTTCCCTTCTTGTATTCAAACAGCATTACATGCCGAATGTGTCTCTCATCATGTGTCATCACTATAAGGGATTAGAGTATACTAAACTTGACACATTATATAGGCTACACTAACGTAACGTTTAGGTGGTTCGTTTAACTATTATACGTGATGTATGTTTTTTGGGGGGTGTTTAATGAAAGTGTTCCAAAATGCGACATTAATTTCTTGACGACCTAATATTTAGCTCATGTGTGTTTGTCAGTAGAGGAGGTGTAAACATAGAAAATGTATGTGTATTTGCGCTTAATAAATACTATAATATTAATGTATTTATCATGCACATTGTGTATTACAGGACAATTTTCAGTGTTTGAGTAAGTCATTCCATTTTTTACAAACTACAATGATAATGATAATATTCTTTCCCTTTGAAATGATTATTTCATTAGTAAAGAACTTGCAGTTTGTTAAACATCTGTGACTTGTTCTACCATAATCCAGATATAGTGCTGATTTAATGTTTATTGCTTAAAGACATCTGCAAACACAAAGACTAAACCTAGTGTCGTGATGCTGGGTGGTATCCATGGGGACCAACCTGTTGGAAGAGAGATATTGGTGAATCTTGCAAGACATCTAATTGAAGGTAAATATTTTATATTCTGTGAAAACTTGTTATTTACTGGAAGTATTGTAGTGTGAGAAAATGTAAATTAATTCAATAATATAATCTGTCACGTATTATATGAATCAGACCCGGCATGGCCAGGTGTTTAGGGCGCTCGACTCGCAATCTGCGGGTCGCGGATTTGAATCCCCGTCCACCAAAC